GCACTTATTCGTTCGGGAGTTTTGTCAGAGAAATTTTGAGAGTGAGAGCCCGTTCGTGGGTCCGAAGTAAAATTCCGGTTACCTGGTGAAAAATGGCGATTTAAGTGTCACTTAGAAGGATAGGATTCATTTATAAATGGATCAGGCTACCAGAAGATATAATGAAAAATGAGACAAGGAACAGGTTTATGGGTCTTTGTTCAAAGCACACAAACAGTCTAGCAATGAAAAGGAGTGAGCAAACCTCACCTCGGAAGCGGTGCGCACCGTCAGCGCGTCGTATTTCAGTTCCCCAGTTTGAACCTCGCCAAGTTAGTTCTCAATTTTTCGTGGCCTTCGATCGACTGAGATCACTTTTCCTGATCGTAACTCCGTCGTATATCAAACAAATTTAAGTAGATGATTTTTATCCGTATAGCCTAACCGGAACCTAGTGTACCGCTTGATCTACCGGACCAGAATCTTAAACCCCTGTGCTACCGATGAGCCCCAAATCGCTCTCACCCAAAACACAACTTAAAGTGTAGACATATTTTGAGATGATAATATTTCACTTATGCACTATAAAATAAAACAACCTGGTATTTATCAGGACACTTGGCAAAAACCAGTGGGTTAATGAACACGCACGGTGCGGTGAAGAACCGGATGGATAAGAGCAGTGCACGTCAACGTTCGGTAAAACAAAGACATGATGCAACCAGTAGTGATAGACCAATCATCGCAATACAGTTCTTCAGTTGGCTCCACGTCATTATTAACAGGATGAGTCAGAAGCCTTTGCGCACCTGAAGCTAGATGATGTAAGCTGATCAACACTGTTTGGCTCAATGCTCGTATTTCATGATTCAGGTTAGCTAATATAGACTGGAACGACAAAAGGGAGTAAATTTCCAGTAGGCACATGGTACTTATAATCTCAGATTTCATGTCAAGTTGACCTTCGAAGCGATGTGGAGTCAACAATTGTTACAACCATTTATGAAGTGCTCCGAAATCCACTATGATAAAGGTCCACTCGTTTCTCCATTTTGATGACCTTCAATTTGTACCATTGCTGAACAGTCAAGCTTGGCTTTACCATTGCAGTTCTCTTGTCGAACAATCCATAATTCTCTGTCTGCATTATTCTTACACGTCACATAAGGAGACTTCAAATGGCTCTCAACTTCATTGCGTATAACTACACCGATGATGGGGTAACTGGGTGTCCCTCGACTGATCCCGACAGTTTCCGCAAACTCTTGGACTGCCTAAATCAAATTTTAAGTTAGTCGTTCGTCATCTTGTCTTGGAAAATCGGACGACCGTCATCGCTTACTAGAAGGATCAAGTAGCGTTTTAGTTCATTTTTATTAAATCCCATTGTTTTTCATTTCTTAATTCTTTCATGTGCACGATTATTTCACTGAAAACCAACAATAATGAGTACATGATCCTCGCTTTGACTTGAATTTCCACGATTGGATAAGAATGACATGGAATTTTTGTGTTACGAAACCTTGCAGTTTCCCATGGATTTCCGGTTAATAAGGCGAACCCATTACGCAAAGATGCACGAGCGAAACTACTTACGACACTCAACCATATCACTGCTTCAAGTCAATTATTATGCTGACCTCGGGGCCCCCATCTAGGGAGCCTAAAGGGACCCAGTATCCTGGCTAAGGCTTTCATACCCTCTCGCCAGATCTTTTAACACCCGCTTCCTACCTCAGCAAACATCGGGCGCGATGGCAACTTATTTGGCGGTGTTTAACGCATGTCCCAATCAATGTAGTCTACGGAGGTCGAACACATGCTCTAGTCAGCGAATTCGGTTACCTAAAACTCGGCGCCTGACCTCAGCATTGCTCGTCCGGTTGCCCCACTAGATTCATGCAATGCCGCGCAGACAGTAATGCTCAAACACCGAGTCTATCGTTATCCTGATTTCTTAATGGCAAAGTTTCTGCACTGAACGAACTGCAGCAGCATACACTCGTACCCATCGTCAACCGACGAAAGCAGCGTTCCTTAATGTGAAAGAAACCTTTGACTCAGTGTACCATGGGGCTTTCTTCGGCTACCATTTCCGACGAGGAACACCCCAAAATTATGTCAACTTATTAAGGTCACTGTGCTGGTCGGATGGTTTTCAACGAACAAACTGGCTCGTTCTAAACCAACATTGAAGCTCGTCAAGGGTGCCCTATTTAACAATTCCTGTTCAATGTCGTCGCAAACGAAATACTGGAGGACGCACTATGTGATCCACAAAAAGTGCTGAGTGCGTAGCTGGAAAAAAGCTGTGCGGCTCAGAGTACGATGACGAGATCGTTTGACTGATGGAATGTATGGAGGATGCACAAAGCGCACTGGACAGGTTAGCGCTTTCAGTTACTCCTTTCGGTATGCGCTTGGTACCTTCACAAAGAAAATTGATGCTCCAAGAGTGAGTATCCCCTAGTCTCGCTTTGAAACTAAATGACTAGGAATTAACCATAGTGGATTGCTTCCCCTACCTAGGTGGTTGCATGGCCAATGACGGTATCGCAGCAATGTATACGACCCTCACATTTTCAAGGACCGAACAGCATGCACAGAACTGAAACATTTTTGGCTCAGTCGGGACGTTTCACTGTGATTCACACGTCGTTTATATCGCTCCACCGTTCGTTCATTTCTGCTTCATAGTTATCAGACCGTGAATTTGCGAACGGAAGATATCCACCGACTAGAAGTTTTCAGCAATCGGTGTTTACGTGGTTTAGCCCAGGTGGGACAGAGCAAACTGGTAAACCAACGTGTGTCGGGGAATATGTAGAGGGAAAATTTACTAGCACATCAAATTCAAATTAGTAGGCTTCGCTGGTTAGGACACGTATTGCGCATGGCCAGTTGTCGTCTACCGAAACGCTCCTTACCCGCGGTAGCCGCTCCGGGATGGAAGAAACCACACGGAGGTCAACAAGATATGTAGAGAAGAGGTTCAATTAAGTGCACAGAGTGAGTATGTAGCGTAGGTGTCCCCCATCTTCCAGATTGAGGTCTAAAAGACTCCGTAACTGAAGATGGGAGAGAACGGCAGCCGTTCTTGTTTTCACATTTTGTCGAATCAGAATTTTCGCGTGATCAAATTCTTCACTGCGATAGCCATCAAGGTTTACTTTCTACCCTCCCATTCAAATTAGGCATAACCCCAGTTCACCCCACACATATCCACTCGTCATACACGCCTTCAGCTATGCAGCAAGCAGTGAAATTCACTTCAGCGTGCAAAACAAAGCATTACATTTTCCTGTCGTCAGACCCCA